TAGCATATAATTAACATATTATGCTTTGATTGGCTGTTCGGTTGCTCTGCCATTTGGTCTATTTGCATATTACCCTTTTATTATATAAGATTTTAATTTGCATTGTTTACTTTAGATTGCAGTGCCTTATGGTTCAGCAACTGGATCGTTATATAGTTTAGCAAATGCAGAATATAATATTTATAAATAGTTTTTGAAACTAACTTGCAATGAAAATGAAAATGTTATAAATAGTATGTATTTTCCTTACAAATTAGAGGTGTGGTTATCAAAACAAAGACTTATACAATACTAGAGGCCCAGGGCACAGAATTTGTGCATGGGAGGTGGGGGACCCCTCAGCCCAGCCTGCACCTTTTCCAATCTGGGCCCCCTTGGGGGATGTCCGACTGCCTAACCTGGCAGTTGGACATTCCTCTCACAATCCTGGACCGCTGGCTTCTAATCGCTCCCCTGCCTGCCTGCTTGGTTGCCCCTAACTGCCCCCTCTTTGCCAGCCTGGTCACCCCCAACTGCCCCCACTGCCGGCCTGGTCGCCCCCAAACTGCACCCCCCTGCCAGCCTGGTCGCCCCTAACTGCCCCCTCTTTGCCAGCCTGGTCACCTCACGCAGCCTGCTTGTTCAGTCATTTGGTTGTCCCTCACTAACTCCCCTGCTGGCCTGGTCGTAGACAGCCATCTTGTGAGGGCTTGAGGGTTAATTTGCATATTACCTCTTTATTATATAGGATAGTTCTTTCCATGGCACATTTTAAATGGATATAACAAGCGTGTGATGGTATGTGAGTTTATCACCACTGTGATATTTTATTGAGAATACTTAGATTCATACAGTCCTAATAGCTTTTGCTCCTGATAACTTTTCCGATATTTTGCTTCTTCATGTCCCTATAAATAAATAAAATCCTATCTAATAAAAGACAAAAAGGGTAATTAACCATACCTCCACTATGCTTCCCATGGGCTAATCAGGGTGATATGCAAATTAACTGCCAACAAAGATGGCGGCCAACAGCCACACAGCTGAAGCAAACAGGAGGCTTGCTTGCTCCAGTGTTGGAAGAAGCCAAGGTTCCCGGCCTGCCGCGGCCCGGCTCTGAGCCCGAAAGAAGCAATGTTTCCATTATAGAAGCTAAACAAACCCCAGATAGCTGCTTTCAACGGGCTATGGCCTCAGAGCTGGGAGCGAGCAGTGAAGGCAACAATGTTTCAATTATAGAAGGTAAATAAATCCCAGAATATGCAAATTGACCAAACGAGGAGGAATGACTGGTTGCTATGACGTGCACTGACCACCAGGGGGCAGACGCTCAATGCAGGAGCTGCCCTTTGGTGGTCAGTGTGCTCCCACAGAGAGAGCTCTGCTCAGCCACAAGCCAGGCTGATGGCTGCCAGTAAAGCGGTGGTGGTGGGAGCTCCCTCACCTCCTCAGCAGCACTAAGGATGTCCGACTGCAGCTTAGGCCTGCTCCCCACTGGCAAAAGGACATCCCCCGAGGGCTGCCAGGCTGCCAGAGGGATGTCTGATTGTCATCTTAGGCCCAATCCCCCAGGGAGCGGGCCTAAGCCAGCAGGTGGTCATCCCCTGAGGAGTCCCAGACTGCGAGAGGGCACAGGCCTGGCTGAGGGAACTCCCCAACCCCTGAGTGCACAAATTTTTGTGCACTGGGCCTCTAGTTAACATATAAAGTCTATTTGTTTCTATGAAAACTAATAAGTAGTAGGTAGAAAATGTTTAAGTTAAATGGAATTTAAATCTGAGACACCAACTTTATTTTTCAGTATTATTTTCCATGTAAAATAGATCTCACTGAGCTTCATCCATCTTCTCAATTTTTTTTTAAATTTCCAAATTTTAATTACTCTGTGCTTCTATATTTTTCTGTTTTTTAAAAAAATATTTTTTTAATTCAGAGAAAAAGGGAGAGGGAGCAAGAGATAGAAACATCAATGATGAGAGAGAACCATTGATTGGCTGCCTCCTGCACAGCCCCTACTGGGGATTGAGCCAGCAATCGCAGTCAGGCATGTGCCCTGACTGGGAATTGAACCGTGACCTCCTGGTTCATAGGAGTAATTTTTTTACTTTTATTGGTTAGGTTATTAAAACTCTCTGGCCTTTAGTAGTCCTCATAAAATGGAAGGGTTAAATCACATCATTAGTAAAATTTCTTTCTGCACTAATTGACCAAGATTCTGTGAGTTAATAACTATTTACTAAACACCTACCGTGTATTTATCAATATATGGCCTCTGATAAGTTTTGAATATGCATATAAAAGAACTTCTTTGTTTTTAAGGGTCTTCTAATCTAATGTAACACTTCTGAAATAATTTAAAAAATATTACATGGTATGTATATTCTTAAATGTAAAGTGCTCTGATAAACTCTCCAAGTGCTTTAGAAGCAAGTAGGGGGGAAAGTAATGGAATTTATATTGAGAAGAGTATTGATGAGCAATATTGCAAGGTAGTGTGCTTTTTAATGACAAGAATCTGACCTCACTATAGCAGAAGGCGTGGGAGAAAACATGGGAAAGGGATCTGATGAAGCCATATTATGTGCTTCTTGAAAGTAGAGAAGTAGTTTGGCATTCAGATGATAAGAAGAATTAAGTAGATAGTGAAATGTGGATGAACATGGGGAGGTGGAAGCAAATTCAACCAGGGAGTACCCTCAGGAGGAGAATGCTGTTACTGAAGGAAAAAACTAAGTTCTGTGGTGGCACAGTTGTTAGGTGTGTCAACATATTGCTTTGCCTTTCTTTAGTCCTGATTTGCAGACATTCAAATAGATAATCAAATGTGATTTCTCCATTAAAGTGACAATTTTATATCTTTGAGTTTTTAGAAATTCTTGAAATACTTGATTAAAAAGTGGAACTGAAAAAAAAAAGTGGAACCAAGGTACATTTTATATGGCTGAGGTAGCATCTTATGTGCTGCTACTTTTTGCCTTTGTTTTTTTGAGAGTGCGATAAACAGTTTGAAGCTCTAGAAAAGGGGAAAATGTGTTTTTTTCTTTTTTGTTAGTGCCTAAGAAATATCAGCTGAAATGAAGTTGTTTAATTTTTTAAATGTTTATCAAAATAGTTTAAAATTTTGTTCCTATTTTACTGTTGTTTTGAAAAAAGTGGCTATTGAATTTTCTTAATACATACTTTTAAATGAAATGGTATTGAAAACTTGCCTTTATCTTTTTAAATGTATTTTTCTGCTTTCCTCTTACTTCAAGGCCTAGTAAATGACAAAGATTCAAAAGATTCTATGACAGAAGGAGAAAATCTTGAAGAGGATGAAGAAGAAGAAGAAGGAGGAGCTGAAACAGAAGAACAATCTGGAAATGAAAGTGAAGTAAATGAACCAGAAGAAGAGGTGATGACTTTTATTTATAGCAAATAGGTACATTTGTACTAGAGTATTTTGACTATATGAGCAAAAATTTTCTTTATAAAATAAAATCTACCCCTCAGTTGTATTATAGTAAATGTAACTAATAGTATCTCTGATATAAAGTCTCTGGATTAATTACGGGTTTTTAAAAAGTAAGTACTGATCATAGGATTGTTTTCATTATTATTATTTAATCAGAGAGGAAGGGCGAGGTATGTAGTAATTGTTGCCCGCTGACTTTGCTCTACATTTGGGAATAATAAACAGTTATACAGATGTTTCAAAATCGTCTTAAGGTATGTAAAATGTAATAACCCTTTTTAAAAATGTTTTAATCATCTAATGTTAAATAATTTCAGGAGGGTTCTGATAATGATGAGGAGGAAGGAGATGAAGAAGAGGAAGAGAATACAGATTATCTTACAGATTCAAATAAGGAGAATGAAACTGATGAAGAAAATACCGTATGTATGGCTGAAAATTTGCTTCTTGAAATTGTGCAACATTTTCATAGTATTTCAGTTTTATTTATTTATTTATTTATTTTTAAGATTTTTTTTAACTGCAGTTTGGCATGTTTTAGCCACCAAAGTTTCATTTCTTATAATTATTAAAAACTATTTCTTTAGGTATTTATTTTCAATTTGTTTTCCTAAATACTTTTATTTAAGTTATTTTAATATTTAATAATATTATATATTTTACTCACTCATTCCTTAAATATGTTAAACAAGTTATCAATACAAAAGGCTCTGTTATACAAAACATTAATGTTACAATTTCTGGTCTTATTTCTTGGTTTTGTTTTATTTTTAATAAGGAGGTGATGATCAAAGGAGGTGGACTTAAGCATGTACCTTGTGTAGAAGATGAGGACTTCATTCAAGCTCTGGATAAAATGATGTTAGAAAATCTTCAGGTATGAAATGTTGCTCTAGTCCAAAATATCTTCTCAGTACAAAACTGCAGCACATTCAGTTCTGGTTAATAGGAGGGTCTCTACTATCTAAACATTTGCTTCTGCAGCATTTTCCATATTTGTACAGTTTGCAGCTGCCAGTACTTGCATTTCATGTCCTGATTTGTAACTTTCTTTAAGATAGTATGGGGATAAATGTAGTAAATATAAGACCTGGAATAGAGTAATTTTATTGTACCAACTTTCACCTTTTCTTCCTGAATCATCTCTAAGACCCTTTACTTGCAATTTGTTTAGGAGTCATACATACTTTGCAGAAGATAAGTATTTAGGGAAATTTAATTTTGTAAATTCCTAAATTTGATATATAATTTGAATAACAGAAATATTTAAAGGAATATTAGTTATTTGATGTTTAAAGAAGTGTTAATTGTTTAATGTATTCATGACATTAATACACTGTATTTTAGAAAAAGCTCCATCATCCCAGTGATTTAGAGTAATGATGTCTTCCTATAGAGTTGAAATCTCATAGACTGTTTACTTTAGCCCTATACATCGTAGCTGTTGTTAAACACTTTGGTGACTTGACAAGAGTGCCTTTGTTGGAATGGTGGGGTGAAAGCTACTTGGGGTGGGTTTAGTGGAAAATGAGAAGGGAGGAGGTGAAAATGATGGATAACAGATGTAGATAACTCTTAAGGAGTTTTACTAGAAAGGGAACAGAGTTAAAAGAGGATGATTCAGAGTTGAGCCTTCAGGAACCCCAATGTGTAATCCTATATAATAAAAGGCTAATATGCAAAATCTATACAGCAGAATGACCGGTTGCTATGATGCGCACTGACCACCAGGGGGCAGACACTCAATGCAGGAGCTTCCCCCTGGTGGTCAGTGTGCTCCCACAGGGGGGCCGCCGCTCAGCCAAAAGCCGGGCTCATGGCAGGTGAGCACAGCAGTAGTGGCGGGAGCCTCTCCTGCCTCCATGGAAGTGGCAACATTAAGGTTGTCTGTCTGAAGGCCTAAGCCATCAGTCAGACATTACTGAGGGCTCCTGGACTGCAAGAGGGCACAGGCTGGGCTGAGGGACCGCTCTCAACCCCGCTGAGTGCATGAATTTCATGCACCGGGGCTCTAGTTAATAGATAATTTACAAATCAAGATTCATCTAACATGATCCTTTCAAGTTTTAAATAAAACGTTTATAAATCTAAGAAATTAGAACTTAGAAATAAAAAACAATAAAATCTTACACCTTTATTACCATTTTGCTTGATTTGCAAGTCTCTTGCAAATATTGAGCCTTTATTAAAAGACTATTTAAATTGTAGTACAGCCATTTGAAAACCTTCATGGCTTTTCAGCATTACCTGCTTAGCTTTGAATAATCATATTTAGCTTTTTCTTCATTAGTGCTCCATTCATCAGACATAGAGGTTTTTTTGGAGTTCCCTAAATGCACTGTGCTGTTTCATATCCTTATTTTTGCACCAGTTTTTTCGGTGCCTAAATTTCCTACATATCCCATCTGCTTAGAAGAAGTAGTATGAAGTCTTTAATGTTCTCAAATGTCCCATTTTTATTCATTTTTTTGTGAAATCTCAGCACCTATCTATCCATTCCCAGTCAGCCAACTCCATCTCCATCTCCAGCACAGCTTACTAGTATATAACTTGGATGAATCATATTTAATTAATGAGTTCTTTGAGAGTAGAGACTATTCTTTTAAATATTAATATCTCCAGCCTAACACAGTAAGTCTTCAGTGAAGGTTTGTTTAAATAAATTGGTTGATAAATCTAGTGTAAATGTTAAAAATAATTGTTATTAACAAGCAGGAACTTAATGTGAGCATTAATAGATTCCATTTATTTGGAAATTTGAATTGAGTACTTGCTGCGTGTAAAGCATTGCGATAGAACACTAGGGAAAAGGGCATATACAGTGATGAAACCCACCAGCCTTGTGGGGAGAGTGACGAATAAACAGGCAGTTATGACACGAAAATTATGAGGGAAGGTGTATGCTGTGATTATGAATGAAAGGGCACAGTACATTAGAGGAACAGGGAAATTTAGTAGAAGCAATAGCATTGTGTGTTTGGCATGGAGAGGCTGGAGTGACAACCAGGAGCCAAGTCACAGTTCTTACAAGGCAAGTTAGGGGTTTGGGGGCCACGCAAGACAGTGGTTTCATCTGCATGTCACAAAGATTACTCAGACTCTAATTATTGTGTTTTAAGAAATATAACACTTTATGAATTGTTTGCAATTTATATTGACATATGTCAGTGTGCCTTGGAGTATTTATATTCTTTCATTTCTGTCTTTAAGCAACGAAGTGGCGAATCTCTTAAAGTGCACCAACTTGATGTTGCTATTCCCTTGCATCTCAAAAGTCAGCTGAGGAAAGGGCCCCCACTTGGTGGTGGTGAAGGAGAGGCAGAGTCTGCAGACACGATGCCATTTGTCATGTTAACTAGAAAAGGCAATAAACAGCAGGTAAGAAACTGCCCACTGTATTCATAATTGTTATCAAATATAAGGAGTAACTATATTTTTTAGGTTCTAAATTGTTTTTTTGCCTACAAGGGGAAAAGAGTTGGAAATATTCAGTATTAGAAATAATTTCATCTAGTATATATTCAGAAGACACATCTCTGACTTGTACAGAATGGTATTTTTGAATGGAAAGGACATTTATTTCAGTAGGGAGGGTTCCTAAGTATGCTCATAATGGGAAAGGAAAAGATGACAGATACATCTCAAAAAAATGCTCAGGCCCTGCCCAGATAGCTAAGTTGGTTAGGGCGTTGTCACTATACACGAAGGTTGTGGGTTCCATCCCCAGTTAGGGTATATACCAGGGGTCCTCAAACTTTTTAAATGGGGGGCCAGTTCACTGTGCCTCAGACCATTGGAGGGCCGGACTATAGTTTAAAAAAAAACAACTATGAACAAATTCCTGTGCACACTGCACATACCTTATTTTGAAGTAAAAAAAACAAAACGGGAACAAATACAATATTTGTATTTGCATGTGGCCCGCGGGCCGTAGTTTGAGGACCCTTGGCATATACAATAATCAACCAATGAATGCATAAATCAGTGGGACAACAAATCGATGTTTCTCTCTCTCTCTCTCTCTCTCTCTCTCGCTCGCTCTCTCTCTCACACACACCCTCTTTCTCTCTTTAAGAAAAAAATATGGGTAAAAATTTTAAAAAATAGGTTGATAATGAAAAAAAAAGGAAAATTCTCAATTGTCACGATTTTTCTTAAAAATAATTGTTTTTTGATCATGAATGCTTCTCCATTCTCCTTAGATTGCTTCCCTCTTCTTTCCTATACTTCACAGTTGACCCTCAGAATCATTTCCCTGACTACTAAGCTGTTACTTCAGGGATTCATACATTGACAGCTTACATCCTGCTGAGGGAGATAGACAAACATCATATACTTGCAGATAGTGAAAAGTGCTATGAAGAAAATAAAGCCCAGCTCTCAGGCACTCTAAGATATATCATGCATTACCAATGCTGTAAGAACATTTTTGAAATCAAGCTGTTGCTTAGAGTTGATGGAATCTTGTGATAATTGACAGCATTTTCTTGTTTAGTGGTATGTAAAATAATCTTCTAATAGAATCTTAGATTCTGTGAAATAGGGTAGCTACCACAGCTTATCTTAGAGTCCAATACCTGGCTCCCACACTCATTCAAATAGTCATTTAATAGATATTTATTGTTTACTTGCTACGTACCATGTACTATTTTATGTGCAGAACATAAGGCAGGCAAACAAAGTCGCTCCTCTCTTGGGAGATTTCATTCTATTTATGGAAAGCAGACAATAAAATACATAATGTCAGGTTGGTAAATTGCTATGAAGGAAAATAAAGCAAGATAAGAGGATAGAAAGCGACTGGGTTGGGCCATGAGAGGGAGATTGCTAATTTAGGTGCATGATCAGGGAAGACCTCTAATAAGGTATCACCTATAATGGAAGGGATATTCTGTTCCCTTCCTACCAGTGCACTCTCAAAGAGATGATTGCCTAAATTTTATCTCTGCTTTTGTCATGTAATTTCATAGTTACACAAAGGATCAAAGTTACACAGTATACCATTATTTTGCTGTAATGCAGGTAAATCTTGTGATTCAAGAACTATATGCTAATTAGAATGTGGAATGAACACTGGAAAGGATTTATATCATGACTCATTTTAATAGTTAACTTCGACTTAGGTTCAGAGCCCTGTTGTAACTTTTTCAGACACTGTCCTCGTAATTCCTTTCCAGCCATAAGGTCTTTCTTCATTCTCCAATTACGGTGCGTTCAGGAAAGTTTCACCCTGTCCCACCCTCGGGTCAAAGTTAAACTCTCATCTGTCCTCCACTCATTCTCTGGAAAAATTAGGAATTCTTTGAACTTTGCACATCTGCTGTCCTCAGTGCATATGGAAATGCTAGTTCACCACAGTTATCAGGATACTCAAAAGTTCAGACTTTTTGCTTTTCTTGGGACTAAGTTCTCTGTGTTCGACTTTTCTATTTCTGTCATCACATTTTAGGTCTGCTTCATTTTATTATTTTTTAAAAGCTTTCAGTTCTTAATACCAGATGTTTGGGCGCCAAAAAAGGGGTGTTTTTTGCCTCCCCTCCCCTATTTATCCCCCTATATCCTCTTCCACCTACACTCACCACACTGTTGTTTGTGTCCATGAGTTCTTTCTCTATTTTTTTCTTTTTTGCTCAATCCCTCTATCTCCCCAACATCCTTGCCACCCAGCAGAACTGTTTGCCTGCTTTTTATGAGTCTGTTTCTATTTTGCTTGTTAGTTCAATTCATTAAATTCCACATATGAGTGAAATCATATGGTGCTTATCTTTCTCTGACTGGTTTATTTCACTTAGCATAATACTCTCCAGGTCTATCCATGCTGTTGCAAAGAGTAAAATGTTCTTCCTTTTTATGGCTGAGTAGTTTTCAGTTGTGTAAATGTACCATCGCTGTTAAAAAGGTGTGTTTTTTTATTGTGAAGGGCAGTACATACAACTTCAGTTAGCAATACCTTGATTCCTATTCCCTTGCAGCTCTTGCAGCTACTGAAGGAATATCATTACACAAGAGTAAATAAGTTTTTCATTTGTCCCTCCATTTTGTGAGGCACACATGAAAATTCATTATACCTTTGTCATCTTGTTTACCCCATATGACCTTTTCAGAATGGATAGGCATAAATGAAATAAAAACCTGTCTTAAAAATACTTTTGCGCTTTGAATAATAAATTTATTTCAGCAGACTTAAATTCTAACTCATGATTCAAAATAAGACAGTGTACTTATTTCTTAGAAGGAATATTTTTAGTTTAAAGTGGGTAGATTATATACTGTGTAACCCATGTAACTTTATACAAAATGAGTAGAAGTCCTTCTTAAAATGTAAAATTTTAATTTTTAAGGAACCAGTTTTATTGAACTTTATTAAAAAACATTCTCAAACATGAAGTGAAAGTTCAGAGTACTTGGTTATTAAGTACATTTTAAACTCAAACTTTATTTGGAATTTTGGAAAATCTTCAACTTTATGAACATTATTTGAAGAAACCTCACTGGTCTTTTGTGGTCTGAAAAAGAAAATATATTTTGTTCAGATTTTTATTTCTTTATTTGAGTTTTGGGTGTTGGCCCTTTTGGTGCAACGGTTTTTCTAGAAATGTGTTGCCTTTATAGGAATCTTTGGTTCTTAAGTGAAAGATCTCTTTGTGCACAAATTTGTGCTCAGAAATAACTTCCTCCTGTAGTCATTAGGAAAACAAAAATTTATACCATTGAGGTGAGTAGGTAGAAAGAAAGAAGGATAATTCTATTGATAATTTATTTCTAGGTTTACGTATTTATAAATTAGAATACTGAGTTGAAATAAAATGCTTTGATTACTAAAATGTTTTAAATTAATAAAATCATGATATTTTAAAGCTAATTATTTTAAACAAATGCACAATATATTATAGTTTAATGCTTGTAAACAACCCTTTTTTTCAGTTAATATTTAAAAGGAATCATTTGTTTTACATATCTTTTGACTGAAGTAATTGATAATATCTGTCATAGTAACTTGGGATTATGTATATGTATTTGGATACATATATGTATTTTTTCTCAATTTCAGCTAGTTATGAAGTAGCTTTATTTTATATTTGTATTGATTTTAGAGAGGAAGGGAGAGGGGGGAGAGAGATAGAAATATAAGTGATGAGAGAATCATTGATCATTGATCGGCTACCTCCTGCACACCCCACACTGGGGATTGAGCCTGCAACCTGGGCATGGGCCCTGACTGGGAATTGAACCTTGACCTCCTGTTTCATAGGTCGATGCTCAACCACTCAGCCATGCTGACTGAGCTAAATTTATTTTTTATTGTTGACAGTTTTATAAATGTCTCCCATTTCCCCCCACTTTTCCTCCCCTTTCCCCACCCCAGGCCTTCACCACATTGCTATCTATATCCATGGGCTATACAGATATGCATATAGTTCTTTGGTTAATCTGTTTCTGTTCCCTCCACACACCTCCCCTCTGAGATAGGTCAGTCTGTTCCATGCATCCATACCTCTGGACCTGTTTTGTTCATCAGTTTATTTTGTTAATTGAAGTAGCTTTAAAATACAGTGTAAATCACCATTACCCATTATCATATTCCAGGAAATCTTGTTGAGTGACTATAGTTTCTGCCATCTAAAATCCTAAAACTAGTACCTCTCTTTTAAAAGTATCTTAACAGCTTTAAGCTTCTTAACAGCAGAACTCAGGTAAAGGCACGTGGAGAGGGTGGCATCAGGAAATTTGTCTCTTGTGCTCCCTGTATTTATTACTGTCTCTTTTCTATTCTTTTAAAGCACATACTACTTGAGAACTTTCCCTTTTGTAAAACTTGTGTCAGGTCATAAAGTGTTTTTGTCTTTTATTTATAACTAGAGGCCCGGTGCACAAAATTCATGCACAGGTAGGGTCCCTAGGCCTGGCTGGTG